TTTTCACCTTGCTCTTTCTTCAAAATACTTCTGATAGTACTATAATTCTTGGGTTCCATAGTAGATCTGATGTAAATTAACTTCATATTAACTATTTTTATATAGAGGTAATTCTATATATCACCTAATATTAAGAGAAAGATTTTAATAATCACATTACTAAATTTTGACCCTGAAATATTTGGTAATACCAATGTTCACTTTGTCTGGTTTTGTTACAGTATGCCCCATTTAAGAGTTGTGCTAATTTTTTGAGCCAAGAAGTGGACGAAAATATCAATTTAACAGATAATGAGGATGATGATGATAGCGTAAAAAATAAACTACATAAAGCTATAGTAGATTTTAGTAAAGAAAATTAACACCCTTCAATTCTTAAAGTACATATAAAGTGGTGATAGAAACACATCTTTGTCATTAATTTATCACGTGATTAATAGTGCAAACAAAATATTATTGATGCTTCCAATCTTCCAATGGAACATACTGTTACATTATCTCATTATTGAAATTTCATACAAAAGACCCATTCAATCAAAGTTACTTTTGAGTGTGTGGTACGACGAGATATACTTTTTTTTTTTTACAAAAACTTTCTGATGATAAACTCGTGTGACCTTGCAAATCATATAATAATAATAATTTGAGAGCATACGTAATATTACAAAATTAGACGTGTACTCCTTCCTATTCAAGCTATATTTTTAAACGTTTCATTATATACTACTCTTTTTTTTTTCTAGCAAAAAAAGTAAAATCTCCAACATGTTAACTAACGGCATGACATTCAGAAAAAATTAAAATAGTCATAGTCAATACACAGAGTTCTCTGGCGTAAAAGAAAGTCAGTAGTACTAGTATAAAGTTTGATATTTTCTTTGTTTGTTTTTTGATTATGGTGCATAGAAAGATACATGTGAATGCAGCATGTTTTTATTCAGTCCATTCACAAAATAAATAAGAATGAAAAGGTAATTGATGATCTCATAGCACAACAATAAATAAACTTTATTAAAACTTTTATTGTACATACCAATCATGATTAAAAAATAACAAACTATATATATAACTTATATTTTCTATCAATCATTTTCATCTTTTCAAATCTTCCATTTCTTTTCTATATTCAACATTTACGGTAAATTTTTTTTGAATTTGTTTTCAATTGTACCGATATTGTGAATTTATTGGAGGAAAAAACCCGTTATACCAATATCATTAGACCCGTTCTAGACTCGGAAACAGTAATTTAAAAATCCGGATCTTCATAAAAAAATGTGGTTCCCTTTTAATTAGTATATGCTAAATAGAAATGTGCAGTAGTATGCAAATGAGTAAATTCTGTGCATCTTGTAACACTCCCAACATTTTATCATTCTCTGCAGTCTTTCTAACATGTTAAAGGGATCCAAAATCAGAAGAAAAGACACAAATTAGTTGATTATACTAAACAATGATGGATAATTCATACAAAAGCAAAAGAAGAACAAGAAAAGGAGCGGTATACGTAATCCAATCATCTTCCCCAAAGAGAAATGTTGTATATGCAAAGTATGATAAATGCATAATAAATAAAAGAAAAATTAGTTATGTTAGTGATGAACAAATGGATGGAAAAGTTTCATTCCTAGAATTTTTTAAGCCTGCTTACTATAAAAACTTTTCAACCAAATTAGCAAAACATACCTGACGACTTTAAAATCCCAACTTTTCAATCTGCTTCCAAATTCCAGCATTTCTATTCTATCATAGCAAATTCTTCGCGCGAGAGTTCACTGACTCTTGAAAACTTCAATAACGCCATTCGCATCTTTTGGGTCATAAAGTTTGTATCAACAAATGTAGTGCGAATAAAATAGGTATTGCAATATCAGAGTCAATATTTGGGGAGAAAAGAAGATAATAATAAACAAACCTTTCATGTTTGAATATATATAAGTTTTTCATAGAATCAAATCGTGTGAATTTGAAAATTTATTATAAACTAATACTAAATACATTTGTATTTAAATAAAATTTTTTTTTATATTTATTGTGCGTGAAGATGAATTTGCAATTCAAATTAGCCAATCAGAATTTCATATCAAAACACCCCACCCCAAAATTTTAATTATTTCACATAGTAATAATTTAAAGATAATTATATATCAGGTTTTATCAAATATAGTTGAGGTAAAATAAAAGCTCAGGTTAGTAATTAATTGAAAGGCTGAGTGAGTGAATGAATAATAATCCCACGCCAAAAGGAAAGCATTCATTTTCTGGAACCTGCATTTATTATAATTATCTTCATCCAATCATATTAGTAATGCTAAAAATAAAATTATTTTTTTGCTTTAAATTATATATTGATCGAATTATATATATATATCCATACAATTTATCCTTACATGGTTAAAGTCGATATAATAAATACGATATAAAAGCATATCTTTTTTTTTTGAAAATAAACGCAACTTGCAATTCTAAAAAGATGCATTTTTCATATCACACTGTTTATTCTGTTTTTATCTTGGCATTATTTATTTTTTATAACCCAACGCTATGTCATGAATTGTTCAAGTACACTCCAGAAGAACTTATAGACAGAGACTTATTTCATCTTCAAAAAGCAAGGATCGCCTTTTCTCTTAATATTAAACCCATAACTTATCCCGATAAGTGTGAATTAAAACAATTAAATTTGATCAGTAGACACGGTAATGATTATTTTATTATACATACATGTACAAATTTTGACGCATAAAATAATCTTTTTTAAAATAATTATTAGGATCGAGATATCCAGATCCAGATGATTATGTTGCCTACGGAAAATTGGAAAAAGTATTTGCTAATGTTCCTGTTGCAAAAAATTGGGTAATAAAAATTATTTGTCGTATTTAGCGAATTTATCATTTATTTATTATCTAAAAAATACTTTTTTTTTTTTTTTTTTTTAGTATAAAAATATTTTCCCACCGATTAAGGTATTTCAAATGGTCAAACGAGGAGAACTCTATTAACACTCATTTCAATCAAACCCGCCTATATAATTATTTGAATAATTGATAATAATAAAACGTTAATTAAATATTTTACAAACAGCTTCGTAGATCTCGACTACTTTAATACTTAACATTTACTTTGATCAAACCCGTCTATATAATTATTTGAATAATTGATAATAATAAAACGTTAATTAAATAATTTTACAAACAGCTTCATAGGTCTCGACTACTTTAATACTTACTTCAATCAAACCAGCCTATACAATTATTGAATAATGATAAACATTCATTTTTCAAACTTCATAGATCTCGATTAACACTCAAACCCGCCTATATAATTATTTGAATAATTAATAAAGCGCTCATTAAATATATTTTACAAACAGATTCATAGATCTTGACTTTTAACACTTATCTTGATACAAGATATTCAATAATTGATCAGTATATTTTACAAACTTGCTTTGGAAGCTTGTATGTCGTCATACATCTTGTATTTAATGGTCTACTTTTCTTTGAATTTTATTTTTTTTTTAGATTACACAACAAAATTATAGAATAAATTTAATCCAATGAAATGGTTGGTATCCCATATTTTGCACAACTTGAAAAAAAGTTGATATATAAGTCATAAAATTGGTTTAATAGTATCGACTGAGGGAAAAGCATGCAATGTGAAGTACCGGGTATAGTCCCCTGTGTCCGGCTCCCTTAGGTGCAATGCCTCACTTTGGACCGGCTGTAAAGTCCCGCGGGTGGCTCATGTTGGGTGTATTGACCCTTCGTGACATGACCCTCCTTTTTGTTAATTTTTATTATTTATTTTATTTAGTTAATTAAAAGGAAACATTTAAAAAATTAGACAATTTTCGCTAATCGATTTGATTGGTCACATTTGTAATATATGAAGATCCATCAATCAATAATATTATAATTAGTAGCAATGACGACAACGAATCATCGTTTTTTGAGGATGATAAGATCCAGTTTGTATAGGAGTGATCGAAGTAATGATATCAATGTGTAAAGTTGAGCATTTCAATATATGTTGATTTTAAACTTATGCTTTTCTCATTTATAATAGTCAATAATAGCTTGTTGAATACACTGATAAGTAAGCAACAGATAATTATTGAAAGCATTAATGATGATATTAAAACGAAACTTGTTGACCATGATAAAAAACTGTAAAAAAGTGACAACTAATAAAAAGAAAACAGACGGTTTTGTTGTAAGTATTGTAAAGTTTCTTTTTGTAAAGATTTTATAATGAAAATTATTGCATGTATAATTGGTAGAAGTTAATGCTGCTGCTACTGTTGCGCAAGATGCCTTTGGCATATTAATAATGTTTTACATAGCTTTTATTAGTAATTTGTACTAAGTGAAGACATTATGTTCGCCGTGTAAAACAAGCATTGTGGAGCACTTTTGGTATTTCTCATCATCTTTCACCTTTTAATGATTACTGGAAAAAGATCAAATGAAGGAATGGAAAAATGGTGCTAAAGCTACGATAAATTGTTGATCCACATAATTATCAATCCATCACACTTATGTTGCAAAAATAATCAAAGAAACATTTACTAAAAATGAGCAAACTGCTCTGAACATGCTATGGATTCAAGCCATCTTGGAAACAATCTTTGATCTGGAATATCTATCACCAAAGCTTGATACAGACATTTTTGACCAGCAACTTGCACTATTGTAGAAACAGCAGGAGGCATAATATTGCCATTTATTTATATAGTGGTTAATTTAAAAAAAATAATGTAATACCTTAATAACACATGTTTTAAGAAAATATTTAACATAATGTAAATTAAATCACTTTTCGTGTTAATAAAGTTATTAATTATTGACATATACTATAAATATATTATTGCATCATACAAGGATTTTCAATACCGCTTGTTTGCACAGGGTCTGTTGTTTAACATTTTTTTGGTGTTAAAAAACAGGAATGTTGTTCAACGCCATTAAAAATTTCCTGATGTATAATTGCCATATTTTTTAGTAAAAAGTCCATCCACTTTGTGACCAATCTATTGGTTCTTCTTCGAATTTAAAAACATGATCTCCACAAGGCCACAGTGGATAATTTTTGCCTAAAAAATATATTGAGATTTAATCAAATTACATGTAACTAAAAACAAATAAATATGTACAGTGTGTAACAAAAAAAAACCGGAAATCTTTTATTTGTTTTGTTCTCAATAATGGTTGAATGAAAATAGATAAAAATATATCGAAAAGAAAGCTGGAAATCAGAAGTTTTTATTAATATAAATTTTATATGAAACTTATTTTAATTGCTTTTAATATTAGGCAATGAAGTTAATTTTATTCCATTTAAAAATTCAATTATAAAAATCAGCAAATTCATTTCTCATTAATTTGCCAAAAGTCATTCCAATTCATTGGATTTTTTTAACATTCATACCCTGTGTCTTGCTTAACAAACTCACCAAAAATTTTAGTGTTTCAATATATGAACATTGTTGAATAATCATCACATAACTAATAGCGCATTTTTAAATTGAAGTCTTCATGAATAAATTTTGAGCTTAAAATAATTGACTTTGAAAAATCTGATTTAAACCAAATCAGCATCTCAATCTTTGTGATAAGTTCAGAAATGATCTCTATATATAATGTAGTGGCAATTGGCTGCTAGAAAAAAACAAAAAACATCATTTTTCTAAATTGCACCAAAAAAATTTCGATTTTTTTTGTTATACACTGTATGTATGTATTATTGTTATTTTTATCCAATTAACTTTATCTGAATTACAATGAATGCAAATTTCATTATCTTTAATTGATAATTTGAGGAAAGGTTTTGAAATCATTATTTCAAGAGAAAAAAAAGATTAATTATATATAAACCTTCATTGACAGGTTCAGTCTTGGCATCGGTCAATTCTGTGCATAAAGTGTGGCGGATCGCACGCTCGCAGCGGTATAATCAGATGTTATAATGTTATTCTTAATTCTTTGGAATAAAATATTCAGCTTTACATTTCGTCCATTCCCTTCTAAAGAGGATGTTTTTTTGTGTAGAAAATAATGGTAATGTAAAAAAAATTAATAATTTATATTAAATAATATTTGCAATATACCTTAAACTAAGCAAATACAAGGAAGTCAAAGTTTAGTATCCAAATATTTAAATGATTAATTCAAAATAATATTTTTTAGCACACTCACTTCTATAATTATCACATTTACTATTTGCAAGTCTTCTTTTAGCATGTTTGTTGATGCTTGTATTGATTGATATTCGAGGAAAACTAAAATATTAGATAATTGACCATAAATTTCTTAAAATTAACTTTCAAACTAGATTTGACATCAAAATATCGAAAACCTTTTCCGTCTTGATAACATTGGGTTTTATTTAATCCAGCAGTATTAGATCCTTTTACAACATCTAAATCATGGCCCGCACAATATATTTTCCTTTTGATAATTTTATAAATAAATCATTCAACTTCAAATATACTAACGTCATCAAGGTTTTTCAAGTACAAAGACCCTGCTTTTAAAATGGTAGAACGAGCTTTAAAGAAAACATCATAATATGCAATATATAATAGTCGAAGCAATATTAAAATTTTATTCCTTAACCACACCACCGATCATTATAATTAATTTGTTAATTCAAAAAGCGAATTTTGAGTTTTAAAATTTTCCAGCTGGAATAAATTTTTGCCTAGCAAATTACTAAATATTATGTTATCGCACCCAATTTCTATGCTTTTAATACGTCAGTAAACATACGGCCATTTATTAATAAAGTAGCATAGCAAACTCACGAGTCGATGGTAATTATATTCTGGCTTTTAACTCGTAAATCAATGAAACAAATATGATTGATGTGCTTGATGTTGTATATGTTATTATTTCAGGTTATTCGTCACTATCATCATTTGCAACCTTTTCCTCAACTGGAAATTCAAGATCATTGATTATATTTTTATAAAAACAATTGTTCCAATTGATCTTTTATATCCAAGTTTCATTTCATTTATTAGCTTCATTTCTTCATATTCTACTTCCTCATAAAAAGTAATTCCTGAAGCAATTCCTATACAACAATCATTGGTATATTTATAAACAATTGTATCAAACACTGATGATGGGTTAAACCTTCTTTTCCCAACATCCACAACAATAAATTTAATTTTATCACCCAAAAAGCTTTTGATTTTCTGTATATAGGAGATACTTTTGAACTAGTTCAAGCAATAAAGAACAAGGGCATGCCGTTTAACATTTGGTATATGCTTGACCAATGTAACTGCTTAGCCATTCGGCAAACTCCTTTTCGATAATTGTCTATCCTGGTTCGATATTCTGGTTAGATAATCTGATTTGAAACATTGGCCAAGTTTTTCTTATTTGTTCACATATTTATATTAAAAGTCAGTCACTTGTAACTTTTCTGTAACATCATTTATGCATCATTAGAACTTAATGAACTTTATTTATTCTGTTTACAGTAACAAATTATATTTTCAAAGATTTCCCTAGTTTAACAATGGACAATTATCAGTTTGTAAAGCATCGTTGGTGCAAAGTAAACAATTGATGGTTTTTGCAATTGAATGAGAATTAGATAAATGGCAAATATTGAACAATCAAAAGTTCTATGGATTTGGTGACGTCAGTTCATTTGATGACATTTAATATCAGCTGACCCTAAATTCTTCTCGGATTACCAAAATACAAATAACACCATTTAAAAGCACGAATTAATAATAATATAAAAAAAAAGAATATTATATTTTTGAAGGTATCTAAGCTAGTGAGTGCATATTTTTTATGAGATTTGTTGCAAAATAAAAAAACTTTATTAAAAATTATATTAAATACTTTAATTCTAACGAT